TATAAATAGACTCTTAGAGTTACTTAATAAAAACCGCTTTCTGTATTTTTCTTTACACTCCAATACATTTTCTATATCCTATTCCCACTATATAGAACCACCCTGCTCTCTATTTTTGGAGAGCGAGAAATCAATAATAGAGGATAGAGATAGAATTTAAAAAGTGCTAGAAGGGATTTTGTCAGTAAAAATCTTTATTCCTATCAATACGAAAATATAAATAGGCACTTGGAGTTGCTCTAGGTGAGTGACGTTCCTTTTATGTGTACTTTCATCTCTCGACCATTTTCTCTCTCTCTCTCTCTTTTTTAATGAACACTATATACCCAAAAGCAATATACTTTCCAAAGTTTAACTAAGTTTATAAGAAGAGTATTAGTACTTACTTATAACACAAAATAGATATACTATAAAAATACATCTTCTTATGAATCTAATAGTAATTAGAATGATACTTTTTTTGTATAGATTTAATCAAGCTTAAAATAGTTTGACCAAGTACTATACTACAATTACATTCTTTTCATGATGACATGTTCCATTTGACATTGCATTATCTTCTATGCATGTCTTTTGATTATTAATATCTTCTATAATATACTCTTAAATCATTCAATTTATAAGATTTGCAAGTATTTTGACTCCAAATATACTAAAATTACATTCTTTTCATGATGGCATGTTACATTTGACTTTGCATGACCTTCTATGCATGTCTTTTGATTACTAATATGTTCTATAATATACTCTCAAATCATTCAATTTATAAGATTTGCAAGTATTTTGTCCGATAATATACCAATATATGTTGTACGTGTCCAAATTAGAATATTAAAAGCTATTGATGCTTGTTGTTTTAAGATTTGTTGACCAGATATACTATCCTAAGACTGTCTCCAACAAGAGACCTAAATTGACACTTAAACTCAAAATGGATAGTAAGAGACCTTAAAACGGCCTCCAACAGAGTACCTATACACGGGAGACCCATTTTGGATTACCTGAGAGCCACAACCCAAATATGAGCATCTTTTCTTCTGAAAACCCATTTGTAGAAATGATTCTCTTTCGTGTCCTGTTATTGGAGAAGATATCGAATGAGTATTAAACACTTTGCCTATAGCGCTACCCATAGGTCGAATGAGTCTTATAGCGCTACCCATAGATCGAATGAGTCTTATATTTTGATATTGGTGTTGGAGATAGTCTAAAAGACATGTTTTTGTGAGCGGAGGTGCATCACATAAATAAATAATTTCAGCTGGGTCAAAGTGTAAAGGGATATCTTCCATTTTCTTTTTATTAGAATGCAAGCAGCACCGTACTAGAAGCCACGCCGTGTTCAGTTCCGGTTGCTCCCAAAAAAAATTCCAGAACCAGATCTCAACAATAAATCCAGGCTTGCTCCTTCGCTGGACACTGAATCATCAAGGCGCAGCGTACTTGCAGCAAAATTTTCAGTGATTTCGAGCAAAATCTGGTCTGGTTTGCCTCAAATTCGTCTTTCTTTTGGGGGGCTTTCTTACGGGCCATGTCGCAGCACGACGACGACCTCGCCGGAGTTCATCCGGAAGAAGGAGACCGCCACGGCGTTCGAATGGATGACTCCGACTACGAGGACGATGAGTTGGACCAATCTGTAAGCGTACCCGCCCGCTGCTCTGTTCTTTGTTCTTGAGAGTCGAGACACGAGATTTTGCTCTGAAATGCTCCTGATTTGTTTTTTGAGCCCTGTTTTTTTATTTCTTTGTTCATCCTCAATCTCCTAAGTGATGCCGTTCCCATGCCTTGATTTTGCATAAATTATACTGTATATGTGAAGCTGGCTCTGAACTGATGATAAATGCTTATCTAGTTCAATGCAGAGTTTTGCTTTTTTTTTTGAACGTAACAGAGTTTTACTTTGATTGCGACCTTTTTTTGTTTGTTTAATTTAGTCTCTATCGTTGCTGTCACTAGCTTTTGAGGATGCAGTTAGAAAAATTTGGTATGGTCTAACAGAAAAGGCAATTTTGTGTTTGTAGACTAGTAAAGCGACTGAACATATCACGGCTATGGATGTGAAGAAGGGGAAGGATATACAAGGGATCCCCTGGGACATGATGGCGACTACAAGAGACAAGTACAGGCAGTCCAGGTTGCAGCGGTATGCCAACTTTGAGAACGTACCTAATTCCGGAAGGATTTCAGAGAAGGCATGACATTTTCAGACTAATTACCTGGTTGAGTTGAGTATCTCGTTAGGCCAAGTAAAATTTTATGTGGCGATATTGGTGCAGGAATGCATGCCTGCAGAGAAAGGCCAGCTCTACTATGCGTTTCAGCACAACACAAGGTCGGTGAAATCAACCATCCTTCATTTCCAGGTGAGCCATGGTTTCGAGCGTTTCTCGTTCCAAATGTTAGTTTTAGAAGATTGTTAGACGTCATAATTGAGACAGTTTATCTGCTCTCTCTTTTTCTTTCTTTCTTGAAGGTTTGTCAATCACGTGTTGAAGTTGAATTATTCTAGAAGATTGTTAATTGCTTGGCATGTTTCTCATGTCTGACTAGAAAGAGGAGGCTACTTATCTTGAGTAACTAGTAAACTGAAACGCTCTTTAAGTAATACCACCAAGAGTTTAGCCTTTTCTGATTCCCTCGACACATAGCGGCGTGGCCCGCGGACAGCGCTAGAATCAACTCAGTTAAATTGCAATTGTGGTATCCCAACACAGGAACAGACATTCAGAATGAACTATTCTCAAAAATGAATTAACATTTCTATTTCATAATTTTGGGAGCCAGCTGCTCTATTTTTAAGCAAGTACAATGTAGGGCCTTGTAGCTCTGTACGTATGTTATACCAAACAGTCAGATGCTCTGATGGTATTAGTTGCCTTCTCAGGTCCTGCAAATTTGTTAAGCTCGTTCCATCCCTGTTTTGCAGTTGAGAAATTTAGTATGGGCACCGACAAGGCACGATGTGTATCTTATGTCAAACTTTTCTGTGCTTCATTGGTCAGCACTGACTTGTAAAAAGCAAGAAGTCATTGATCTTCAAGGACACGTCACACCATGTGAGGTACATATCACTTTCCAAATGTTCATTTCAACTTTTCATTTTTCTTCCAGAGCCTTGTCTATTTGATTTATGGTAACACAGCCTTATGTTCTTTGTGCTTTGACTTCAGAAACACCATGGGAATTACTGCGAGGGATTTTATCAGACTCCAGTTAGTACTTTGGCAGTGAAGCATAACTTGCTTGTTATTGGTGGGTTTCATGGGGAAATAATATGCAAGGTGATATTTTTCATCCTCAATGTCTTTTCCTATTTTTGCCTTCTAGAAGATTTTGCAATCAGGGTTTGATGCTTATTTGTTTGCCTGGGGAATGAAGTTTCTGGATCGTCAAGGAGTAAGCTACTGCTGCAAGTCAACACATGATGACAATGGTATTACTAATTCTTTGGAGATATTTGAGAAACCTAGGTACTTTATTTTTCGCAGGCAATCAAATCGATTATTTTGCTTATGAGGAATTGAAATGCATGAATCTCAATATAATGATGTTTCTTGTCCATTTCTTTGCAGTGGTTCTCTGCACTTCCTGGCGTCAAACAATGATTGTGGACTTAGAGACTTTGACATGGAAAGATTTCAAATATGCAATAACTTCCGTTTTGCTTGGCCCGTGAATGTAAGTCTGCAGTACATTCTTTAACTGTCTATTTTTAATGCTGGATATGTTGCATAGCTTGTTGAATTTTCCATTTTTCTATTTAATTCTAGCTGCTGAAGTCAATGCTCAATGATTTGTCAAAAGTGTCTTAAATGAGGACAGAAACACAGTACTGAATCCTGTTTTGGCCCCTGATTAATTTTCTGCAGCATACATCATTGAGCCCTGATGGTAAACTTGCTGCTATTGTGGGGGACAATCCTGATGGACTTCTGATTGATGCTAATTCAGGAAAGGTAAGTGGTACGCAGTGTACAGTCACTGATTTTATTAATAAATGCATAATTCATATATACAAGCTTGCATCTGTTTGTTTCTCGCAGACGGTTCACGAACTCCATGGCCATTTGGATTACTCCTTTGCATCAGCATGGAATCCAGATGGCCGAACATTCGCCACTGGAAACCAAGACAAGACATGCAGGGTCTGGGACATCCGCAATCTCTCCAAATCAGTTGCTGTATTGGGTGGCAACATTGGAGCCATCAGGTCGATTCGCTACACATCCGATGGGAAGTTCATGGCGATGACCGAACCCGCGGATTTCATCCACATCTTTGATGTCGAGAGTGGGTATAGCAGGAAGCAGGAACTGGATTTCTTTGGTGAGATTGCAGGCATATCGTTCAGTCCTGACACTGAAGCTCTCTTTGTTGGTGTGCATGATCGCGTATTCAGCTGCCTCCTCCAGTTCAATCGGCGACGGTTCTACTCGTACCTTGATTCGCCACTGTGACATAGTGCTGGTAGAGACCTGTGAGGTCGACATCACAGGTTGTAGAAACAAGAAAATTGTGTATATTTTCATAGGTGTTGCTGTGAAGAAACTGGAGAATGGTGCGTTTACTTTTGCTGAACAAGCTGTAGGTATTCAGCAAGCCATCTTTTCAGAGATTTGTGCTGCTGCTGTAACGTTGTTGTATATAAAGTGTTACTTGATCAGTGGTTTCACACAAGTTTTAGCTTTAGATCCAGTTCGTCATCTCTTACAAGACCATTGCTCAGGTTCGTCAAAACCAGCAGATATGCTCAGGTTCAGTGACAATACCAGGCACCAGCGCACTTGACATGTCACGTGCAAGAATTTTGACCTGCTTAAAGAAAGGCATATGAAGAACCAAGATGTAGCAGCATATTGATCTTACAGACTGAGATATTATGAGTACGAGGCTAACTCATGAACACAAGTTACAAGGGAACTTTCACAGGCGTGTTTACACAAAGGTTTCCCAATATACTCTCGTATAAGGGTTTCCAGATATACTCTCATACAATCTCAAGTAGGTACAACCTTGGTAGATGAGGGTGAGAGCCGCATAAGATAGGTTGCCATAGCAATACACAGCAGTAAAAACTGAACAAAACAAAAGAGTGAAACCCTACTCGCCTTATATCGCAGCTGCAACACTTCTGAACTATTGGACAGCTCTTTGCACTGCAGTTGTAGCTTCTCTGCCATCTCCTCTAACGCCATTGCTCTGCTTTCAGTGTGTCGGAGTTTAAGTCCAAGCAGCTTGTAATCTTCAGATAGAGACTTTTGCGTTTGGTATAGAGCCATTTGATCCTCAGCCAGAGTTGCTGAGGCTTGATAAGCTCTAGTCAGGATGATGCACTGAATCTCTGACTCCATCCTCTCCTGGTAGAGTTGATCAAGTTGACACTGCGACAACATAGTGGTTTTCCCTGGTTGCACTTGACTGCGAATTGCCTCAAGTTCATATATTCTTGAAGCCTTCTGCTTGATCAAGGCTAATGCTTCTTCCAACCTGGACTCAAGATGTTTTATCTTTTTTACCATTAAGTCTTCATTAGGTTCCTCGACATGGACTGACCCACTCCATTCATCGTCATGGACATCAAACTCATCACTTGGCTCTTTCCCTATCGCCGTGATTTTTTCTATCTCTGCAATATGCATAGGAGAAATGCAAATGACTATTTTTGAGTAATATGTAGAGGATAATACTATTTCAACCCACTACATATGAAATGTAAACACGCTGCTGGTGTTAGGAAATGAAATGAAATGGAATTTAAGGGGAAAAACATATAAGTGCAGTATGTAGTGCAGCATTTTATTGAAATATCCCTCCAACAGATGACCACTACACAGTGCAGCGTTCCAGGAAACTGAGCAAACTAAGCTAAGTAGCTGGTAAATCCTGATTTGCCACTCTGAAGCATAGAGAAATATGTGGCAATGTGGACTTACGGATCCTCACAGATGCAGACAGACAAACTACATCTTAAAATAACTTCGATTAGACAGACAGTTCACACATACTATAGAGTGGAGTTTGAATAGCAGGGTTTGGTTTGCGAAAGAATCATAAGGTTCTGAAATTGCATATATCTCATCTCATGGAAATAAGCATAGACAATTTGAGCATATACCATTCTCCAGCGCTTCCTGTGCTCTGTGAAGTACCAAAATCGACTCATTGCAAGGATCAGCACCCCAATACATCCTTCCATTGCCACCGTTCCCAACACTCTCCTCACCAGCACTTGACCGGACCGATCTGCCCACCACACTACTGCCATTCCCTCTGCAGCGACCCGTAGATCGGACCTCCTGGCTCAGCTGCTCCTCGTCACCGTGGCCACAGCAACCAGAGAAGATCCTGCGAACGCCATTGAGGCCGGTGGCACCCAGCTGCTGCCGGGCCTTCACGGCGTTGGAGCTGCGGCGGTCAGACTCGACGCTGGACCGCGAGCAGTCAGCCGCGGTGGAAATGGAAGCGGCGGCGCGGGGGCGCGGCCTGTCCCGCTCCCGCTCACGCGGGGAGAGCACCACCGAGGCGTGGTCGCAGCGCGCTCGCGGCACGCGCGGCGCGCTCGCGGCCGTGGAGGATCTGCTGCTCCCGTACTCGCTGTTGCCTGCGCCGACGGAGAAGCCGAGGCCCGGACCCGGGCCCGGCGGCGGAGGGATGAGGCGGGACTCGACGGAGGCGGTGGAGCTCTCGGAGGCGGCGGACGCGTCGTGCTTCCCCTTGGGCGCGCCGGCGGCGGCGAGGGGCAGCCAGCGCTTGTGGAGCTGCTCGTCGCGCTCGCCCCCGGCCCCGCCCCCGCCGCCAGTGCTGTCCCTCGGCCGTTCCTGGTCCCGCCGGATACGCCGCCAGCGACGGAGGCCGCGGCCCTTGGTGGCGGCCGCCGCGGGGGACGGGGAGGGGAAAGTCTTGATCTTGGGAGCAGCCACCGCCCCCGGGGACTCGGCGGGGCCGTTCGCCACGGCGTTCACGCTGGGCATCGGAGGAGAGGAGCAGGCCAACCGCGACGGCGGGTAGGGGGGACAGGAGCTATTGGGGGCGGCGGGGGGTTTTGGGTTTTCTCGTCTATAGTGCTCTCCTCGTGCCCTCGTGGGCTGGGAATTCTTGTGCCGCGTGGGAGTGTGGGACCGGGGGCGCCAGCTGAACTGCAACGTCGAGACGACGAGAAGAGAGGGGAAACGAGGAAATTATTTGATAGTTTGTGTACGGGGCACTCGAGTATTAGACCGAAAACATTTATTTTTTTCTCAGCTTCTTCTTCCTCACGATGTGTCATCTAAACAAGGCCGAGGAAATTATTTGATAGTTTGTGTACGGGGCACTCGAGTATTAGACCGAAAACATTTATTTTTTTCTCAGCTTCTTCTTCCTCACGATGTGTCACCGCCGTCTACCGTCCACCGTGTCACCGCTGTACGGTAAGGTCTCCCACTCCCCTCGCCACCGTCATAGTCATGGGTGCCCTTGCCCCAACTTGGCCCGGCCGCCTCCTAGCCATCAGAACCGTAATAGCCGCCCTCTCGTAGTCCCGCCGTCCCCACTGCCTAGTCAGCCTGCCTTCACTCCCAAGCCCCTTCTAAGCCCGTCGGAGTTGGAGAAGAAGAGGGGGAGAGGCCAGAGATAGAGAAGAATGAGAGGGAGAGAAATCAAGTGTTAAGAGGAAGAGAAACACTGAGTGTCATTTAGCATTTCTCTTTTTTGCTATTTTGGATTTGCCAACAGAATTGCAAGTGCGCAGGATAGATTGACGAGATGCGAGGACAAATCTGGGCTCTTTTTCTGGACGAAGCACATTTGTTTGGTCACACGTAGAATACTGGAGTGAAAATGCATTGTCGGCTATCAAACTTGGCAACGAGTATTAAATAGGTCCACAAGCTTCTAAAATATCCACTTTTCTATAAAAAACTTCTAAAATATCAATCTAGATGTGGTAGAACCGCTTGAAATAGCACATCTTCGGAGACGCTCGTCTTCTACTAGACACTAAGCACCCCGAAAGCAAGCTACATCGTGTGGATTTCGTCGAGCACACCCCAAGGAAGAACTCGAATAATCCACGTTTTCCTTCAGGATCCAATAATGAGAACGAGTTTACAATACTTAGTACATTTCATACAACTAAAGTTCTTACAAATACATTATTACAGTACCAAGTTCAGAGTGTGGAATTTAAACAGCGGAATTAAGATAAACGTCTATCGATAATATACAAGGATCCGTCTGTGCCCACCAGAAGAATCCTTCACACAACAGCTACTCCTCAAGCTGCACCTGCAACAGGGGTAAATAAACCCTGAGTACACAATGTACTCGCAAGACTTATCTGACTAGTGGGAATAATTTCCCGACTCCAAAGGATATGATAAGCTTTATGATTTGCTGGGTTTCCTTTTTTCGAAAAGCAATATTAGTAGTGAATCCTTATATATGTTTCTTATTAGCAGTCATAATTAGTTCATTATCTAACCATTCTAGGTAAGCACATGTTCTACTTTCAAGCAAAAGTTGAGCAAACAGATCCATTTCACTATCTTCCATCTTCCAGTTCTTACTACGATGCTAGATTGTAGACAAGTTATACCGGATTGCTCGGTGATTCGCGAATCAATGTGCCCAGCTGGGTACCCCGAAACACACGCCCCGCTTGTACCCAGGCACAAGCAAGACCAACCCATCACTCTCCTATGAAGGGGTCCAGATCTCCGTCCAAACTTGGACTCCAAGCCCCCACACCTGAGTCCCGGACTCAGTGTGGTGCTTAGACCTCTACCATTCCTGCCTCCAATCAGTCAGTCTGAAAAGAGCCAGAACCCATGACAAGAGAGTAACGAGCCTTCCATGCTCCCATAAACAAGTATGTGCTCAGGATAATAAGTCTGTGACCTGACTAGAATCCAATGTAACGGCTGGTCCTTAACCGACGCGGACAGGGGAAACAGTGTAACCAAGTTATGCCCCGTTAGCCACGGGACACAACCCCTTACACCCACTAATATCCGTACCATATCCCTACCCGGTCTCCATTTCCTTTCACCATTTTATCATGAGAGTGATAATAATAATCACCTATTGTGAGTAACGGCAGGTTACTCACGCTACTGAAAAACCTAAGCATAGCAGCTACTCGACCTAAGCTAGTAGGACTCATAGGTAGGTATATCTATGCATGTAGTTTCCATAAAATGCCTATAACGTAAATGCACATCACACACATATATATCCAGTGATTATTCAAAATAAGAGTTATGTACCGGGGCTTGCCTTGGGTAGGCATGGTGTCAGCAAAGTCAGCAGCTGGTGGCTCCAGGGCTCCCTCCTGGACGAGGAATTCCTCCTCGTACTCCTCGATTATGTCGTCGTACTCTGTCTTGCCCGCGGTCACAAACTCTACCAACTCGTTATCTATATGCATGAAATGATGATGCAACACTTAGTAATACGGCAACAACAACTCTTAAAATAAGAATACATCTATCAAGCTACTAAGCTAGCTCTAATGACTAAGACGCTCAGTTACCTATCCTTCCCACTAAACAGGTATGAAACATTCCACGTATTATCTTAGCAACTAAAGGCATCCTTATTCTTATTAACCAATTTAATATATATACTAAAACAAGGAGTACTTAGCTACCCCATTTCTCAACATATTCTGAGGGTACAAAAATTGCAGTGAGCACATAATAATCTAATGAACCTACTGTAAAAATTTCAAAGCTAGCATTTCTACCCTTTCATCACAAAAATTCATTCTCTAAGTAATCATAATAATAACAAGCATTATAAAATAAATAAAGTAACCCTAAAAATACCACAAAACTATATGAACTAAATATACTAACAGATAGATCACAAATTTAGGAATCTAACAAAATTTATTTCATAATTTTTGGACACCTACATGATTTTATATAATTTACTAAAGATCAGTTCATAACTAAATTGGAAAAGCATTTACTAATTTCCTAGAAAAAAAGAAAACCAATTCCTCCTTGGCGTGGCATAGCATGGTAAACCATTGCATGAGCGTAGCCCACTAGCGGTGCACCCACACACTAAGTCACACTGAACAACCACGGTTGTGCGCTGAAGGCGGCTTACCCCCAGATATCTTTGTGGTTGTTGATCGGAGGCCATGTCATAAAGCTGAGATGCTAGTACTTTTGTGAAAATGCCCCCACTCTATCTGCTATTTATATGACTACTATGCGGCCTATTCCTACAGTCGGCACTTAAGCAAAATAGCCCTCGCAACAACTCTTGTTTACAATGGCTAGGTCCTCGGGCCACCCCAGCAACAAATGTTGGACATCCGGCGGAACATTGGGCACACTAATGCTAAAAATTAGGTTATGTTGGCAGTGACGTTAAACTTGTTACTTTTGAACCTAGTGACTTGTTTTGGCCACGCCGGCCATCCGAGCCCCTCCCTGGCCCCTCTAAGGGACCGATGCTCACCTAGGTGCAGATGTAAATCGATGGGCGGTGAAGAGGTGAGCGGGGACGCATCCAGGAGCTCCCTCCACGGTGGCGGACACCCTGTGGTGGCGGCAGCCGTGTTCCAGAGAGCCTTATCACAACAGAGGTGATAGAACCAATGGGTGGGCATCAGCAACTCACCCCACAGCTACCTGTGGTGGTGGCTTGACCGGGGATGGGCCAGGCGCGTCTGGCCACGCGCACATGGCAAGCCCAGCGACGGAGTGTGGTGGTGCGGCCACATCAGCGGTGCCAGGAAAGCAGTGGTGGTGCAAGTGGTGTGCGCAGGGTGTAGAGGGAATCAAGGCGAAGGTAACGGTGCCACAGAATTGGATGCTAAATCTCTGTGAAGGGGGTGCTCTTGAGTGGCTTGAATTTGGCCATAAGATGACCGACGATGGGGAAAACTCCAAATTGGAGCTCGGCATCGCACGACTGTGGTAGCGTACGGGCTTGGCGCGTAGCTAGGTTCCCAATCAAGCCTTAGGCGAGCACAATTACCCCAGAGGTGACCAAGCGCTGCGGTTTTAGCTTTAGCGTGGCTCAGTCGTGCCGGCGCGACGCCATTCAAAGTGGTGGTGGTTGGGAAGCGTGGCATGACGCTTGCCACTTAATAGAAGAGGACAAAGGCACGACTGAGGATGGCTACACATGCGGGCAGAGCAAGGGTGGCAGTGGCAGCGGCACGGTGTGCAGAGGGGCGTTGTGCCGCCTCGGCGCGACGCGAATGCCAGGCAAAGCAGGTGCACGTGGGGGTGTCGTGGCCCTATGTGCGTAGTGCTCTCGATGGTACGACGTGGCGTAGAGGGAACGTGCGTGTGTTGGTGACAGTGGCTATGGCCATGCGATGCCACTGCACCTCGAGCAGAAACGACGACAGCGGCAGAGCTAGTGGAGGGCGGCGCGCGTCGCAGCGGTGATGCGGCAGCAGTGGCACCAATGACCAGCGGGGCAAGGTAGTAGGGCACCGTGCAACCATAGTGGCACCAGCAGCAGTGTGCATCGCGCCAGGCGCCCGGTTAGGGTGGCCAGTGGGGCCCTAGGCGCGCGTGACCACACACTCTCGGTTGACCGGCCCAAAACGTGCAGTGCATGCTTTTTAAAGCATCAACCACGACTAAACCGTTGATCCCATCCCCAAACCACTTTAGCTATACCCAAGAGGGTATATTAGACTACAAAAACAAGCCATAATACTACCCTACTACTTAACCCAATCTCACACAATAAATTGCCAAACCTAGCAGTGTCTACCTGTCGGGAAACTTTGAAATTTTTCTAAGTTTTTCGTTGAACTCTATTTCAAATTGCATTTCTAAGCTATTGGAAATCTTAGCTAGTAATATCATTTTTCGACCGTGAGTATTTCATTGTCATCTACAAAGTTTGCACTTCAACCCTTATTTAAGTATCTCATACATGTTCTATAGCATTTTTGCTTAATAAAAATTGGTTTTAAATCCTAAGTGATATAACATGACTATTGAATAAACTTTCA